AAAAAAAAAAAAAAAAAAATTCCTTGGTTATTTTGATACATTAAGCACAATGTCGGTCCACTTGAAAAGTTCTCATGCCAATACTGAACATTATGTGTAGATATGGATTTTGTCTGTAGTTTTGGATTTCGATAGCAAGACAAATTTCTTTTTTTCTAGTTCGCCAATTCGTTGTGCATACATGTTTTAGTTTCTCAGAAGTTATTTAACTTCGTTTTTCAATGACAGAATGGTGTTGTCCCTTCTTGAGGTTTGACCCTGTTTTCTCTTTGTTCTTCTCGCACTAATTGAATTATTTTAAGTCCTTGCATTATGTATATATATAGTGTCTTGGAACATTGTAATTCGCAAATTATAAAATAGAAGTTCACTGAGGTGAAATCTGGTTTCTAAGTATTTTTCCATTAGGACTTTGTCTCTAAACTTTCGCCTACCCGAAAACTGCTATTGGGATGGCGTACTAGCATTAGCTATAATAGTCATCTTTCGATGGATGGTGAGGAAAATCCTGCACATTCAAGCTTAGTGACCACTATCCTTCTTCATTTGAACACAGAAAACGGGTATATAAAAAATTCCACATCGGTCAGAAACTGTATCTAGATATTTGAGAAAAAGTCCAGTTGTCTTTCTTGTGGTCCAAGATTGTGATTCATGGCGGCGTGTACGAAATAATTGTTGCTTTTCGGAATTGAAGAATTCTCGTAGAGGTTATGGGAATCAAATGGTAGAGGTTGCCTGGCTGAGGAGGGTCATACCTGGTTATCCACACCACTTCATCACACCCCATTAGATGCGTGTGCTTGTTTGAAAGACACAGAGGTGGACAAATGCTAATGAGATAAACCGCCTTACGATTTGTAGTCCTTTATTTCTCGCTGGGTCGAACAGTGTCATTGACAGTTTCCCGATTTCAAGTACCCGAATGTTAACAAAAATTCGTATTTTAAACTGATTATTGACAAAATCGAGTAACAGATGTCAAGTTCTTTATTTCTTTTCGCCGATACGACACATCAGATTACATATAGTAAAAACTACACATATATACAATACTATAAAAGATAACAATATGAGAGCGAGCATAATAAATAAATATCAGATATGTAGGACGTTTTTAACAGGCAATTGTAATTATGAAACACTTAAAAATTACAAATGATTCATTCTTCTAATTGAAGCTTGATGTCATGAGTTATTTGTTGTACAAGTAAAGCTAAGGAATGCGTATTTAAGTAAGCAATAATAAAGGCAATCAAAACACAGTCCATCTTATTATATCACTTATGGCTAAATATCGTAATTAAATATATTGTTAGTACAAGATCTTTCTTGGATGCATATCAATTTAACTTATTGTAAGACTTCTGTTTCTCAATCTTTTAAAGATTTTTTTTAATTCCAAATACAATGTACAAGAATATTTATATGCAATTATTATTAATAATAATAATATAATATGTACAAAAACAAAAATATTTTCCATCCTTTTACCTATATGTTTTTTGTAAAACATTTAATCCTGTGTAAATGGTTAGAACCAATCTGAATCTACATTTTTAGACGAAATTCTTTTAAAACTCGACTGGACCTGATGATTTTTTTATTGACAGTACTGTAGTGCTAATAATTGAATTATTAGAAATTTATTCCTTTAGTGCTGTCGTGTACGTATTATATAAAGAACAAGGTTCACTTAGGGCCTTTTTTGGCCCTGTGAATTTTTGAAAAACTGAAACTGCTTAGTTTTAGTTGACAATGGATTAAATTTCATTCAGACATTTGGCGATTGCGAATCTACCAAAAATGACGTAATGTACTGGTAGTCAATGCATTATGACGTCATGAAATGCGTCATTTTTCTCATACCCTGAACAATTCTACAAAACAGCCAATTTTAAAGCTATTTTTCGATATTTAATATAGAGCGCAATCTCTGATCTAAAATATGCAATTAATTACTGATAGAACCGTTTCGGAGGATTACAAAACATGTTTTATTTTTTAGATCAGAGGGTGCGCTCATATTATTTTTCTTCTCTGAAGGTACTTAAATATACCTGTTTTCTTTAAAATTCAAGAACATTGCAATTCCATAAAGCTTGTTATCCAAGAACTGGACTTTAAGGAGAAAAATTTTAATAGGAAATGAAAACACTAAGTCTCTACTTTATCTTGATGTTTAAAATAGAACATAAGGTGTTAGTCAATAAATTGGTATATCTACAGGGCCATTTTATGCATAAAGTGAACCTAGCTCTTTCTAATAATTCAATAATTAGTAACGACACTACGTTATATTTCCGGAAGGATGCATGACACATCTTTCAAATAAACTTAAATTCTATTTATGGAAGACGCTTTGAACCATGTTTGGTTGAAATGGACATATACTGGGGAAAAAGTCAAAATATGAAAAGTCAGACGGTAGATAGACAAAACAGCAATGTTTGATTAGTAAATAAGTAAGACCTTTGTTCAAGTGAACAAATTGTGGCAAAATAATAACCAAGTCAATGTACGTACACGTCTTAATTAGCTGTGCATGTATGAAAGAAAATAAAATGCTTTACAATTAAATTGCTGACACTGGCATTCCATCGGCAACCTCCTTATAAATTTGTTTTTATTGTTTTTTGATTCTTTTTATGTTTTTTTTTTATTATTATTATTTACTGCATTTTATACTGTTCATTTGCATTTGCATTGTAAAATATGTTTGGATTAGACATGAAACTTAGAAATGAAAAATTTTTATTATGCAATTGGAAATCTGTTGTCTTTTTGACCTACCTGGATATTTATTTTATATTTACATGTCAGTCCGCTTTATTAAGTCTTTAATAATTAATATTGATTCAGTATATGAAAACAATGCATATTTTAGATGTCAGAAATAATATACATTTATTGACTAGGTTCGAGGGCAACATGCGTTTTGTCGGACCAAAGAACCAGATTGAGGCCATTAGGCCGAAGACAAAAAGTTTGATTCGAGTGGTCGACAAAACGCATTTTGCCCGAGAACACAGACAATAAATGTTTTGTTATACCTATTATTTATTTATTTATTTGTTTTTTGCCTTACATGCATCTTGTGCTGGCTTTCGTGATGTAAATTACCTTTACCAGTGAGTTAAAATTCGGTCAATTCCATTAACTGTCGAACACCAACGAATGCAGATGAGATTGAGCTGATCCCGCCTACGGTTTGACGTAATCTGTTCAATATCTCCTATAAGATAAACTTCTCCCCGTTGAAAAACATAATGGGGCAAGGAAAATTGTACATGAAACATTAACATTCTTTTTTTTTAATTTTGTTTTTCATTTGAATATTTGTTCGGGGTGGGATAGCCCTTTTAGCAAGCATTAAAACAGTAAACATTGTTTGTTTGTTTTTTCAAACACGAAATCAGTGAGCACAAGTTGTTTAAAATTTTTTCTCCACTAGTATATTTTTACTGATAAACTAGTATATTTTTACTGATAAGAATCCTGATCATTGGTTTTTTAAAATATTTAATGAGCTTAATACCGACGAATTCAGTTGGCGATGTTGGATAAGTAAAAATGTCTCAGAAAGATTCTGTTTCCTTCCTCCTGCTGTTAATGTAAAAGGCTGGGAAATTTAATAAATTGCATAATGTATTGTTAAATTGAAATTAATGACGCAAGACACATGTATAAATACTTCATGTAGGTGGACGGAAAGGTATATATATATATATATATATAGAGAGAGAGAGAGAGAGAGAGAGGTTACGTTCAGTATCTCGAACACGGATATGTCGAATACTCCGGATATGTCGAAGTAAGTCCTAGGTCCCGGCTGTATTTACTATATAAATGATTGAAAAAACTTCGGATATCTCGAACACGGTAATCTCGAATACTCCGGTTATCTCGAAGTACATGTACTTGTCAGGTCCCAAGTGTTAATTTTACCTGGGTTATGTCGAAGTCGGGTCTATTTTCGGCTCTGTTAATCACAAGTGTTCGCCAGGTAGGCAGTCTTTACGGAACTAATTAATTGCCTCGAGGTAAGTACTATTTCACACCTACCCAAACCAGGTAACCGATCACTGATCGATAATTTCAGGTGTATAAACCAGTTTATTTAGCAATTTATTTATTCATTAACACAGGCCGCTTCCCGATGGCACGATAATTAATTTACAGCTTTGATATCATCCAAATCGGCGAGTGCAGACCTTGTATAAACAAAGTCACAGGTCTAGCGACCTAACTGCATTTAATTATGCACGCTGTAGAATTACATTTTTCTTTAAAAATAAAAACAGCAAACTTCAAAGCAATTATTTTCCTAGTTCTATGTATAAAAATGCGACGACTGAATTTTATCGTCAGTAAACACCATGTCTCAAGACCACTCGGATAAGCAATCCAATGAAGGACCCGGTCTAAATCCCGGGGAGATAGTTGGATTATCTGGGGGTGTAAAAAGAAAATTAAAGGTCCATACAATTGAAACCAAGTTTCAAGTCATCTCTGAAGTAAAGAAGAGTATCCTGAGTAAAGCCGCCATAGCCAAGAAATACGGCATTCCCGCCAACACTTTGTCAACGTGGCTAAAAAACGCAGATAAAATCAACGATGCATAGGAGATGAGTACCTTTGGTCCACAACGTAAGAAAATGCGTACTGCCATTTTCCATGATACAGAACATGCAGTCCTAACGTGGTTTAAAACAGCAAGAGATCAGAATGTTCCCGTTTCGGGTCCACTTCTGATTGCCAAGGCTGAGGAGTTCGCTTCTCAGCTTGGCGATACAGACTTTAAATGCTCTTCAGGATGGCTTGAGAGATTTAAAGAGCGACATAGCATTTCCTTTAAACGTGTTTGTGGCGAATCTAACTCTGTCAATACCAGCAGCGATGCCATGGTTGAGTGGTCTTCAAACTTGAAAACCCTCATCAGCTAATACAGCCCAAGTGACATCTTCAATGCAGATAAAACGGGGCTATTTTTTCGCTTGATGCCAGACAAAACACTAGAGTTCAAAGGTGTTGATTGCCATGGTGGCAAAAGCAGCAAAGAGAGACTAACTGTCCTTGTTTGCGCTAATATGTCTGGAACAGAAAAGATACCCTTATTTGTCATTGGAAAATCTAAAAACCCACGATGTTTCAAAAACATTAAAACCTTGCCCACATCTTACGAGGCAAATAAGAAAGCATGGATAACATCTGATTTATTCACAACATGGCTGCGCAAATTAGACAAGAAATTTCAACACCAGAGAAGAAATGTTGCTATGGTAGTGGACAATTGCCCTGCCCACCCAAAATGTACCGGTCTAAAAGCCATCAAGCTCTATTTTTTACCCCCAAACACTACAAGCAAAACTCAACCCATGGACCAGGGCATTATTCAAAATCTCAAAGTCCATTATAGAAAGCTTGTAATAATGAAAAAGCTGAGAGCGATAGAGAAGCGCTGTGAGCTGACTATCACTGTCATTGATGCCCTGTGCATGCTTTATGAGGCATGGACCAAGGTTACAGACAAAACAATTCAAAATTGTTTTCGTCATGCTAACTTTAGCACTGACACTGCAGTGGATCCACCTGTCTCCAGCGATGGCGATGAAGACCCTGAAGACGACATCACCCTTGCTGCTCTTCGTCTGCGAGTTCCATTTGAAGACTACGCCCGAGTGGATGAAAACGTGACATCTACAGAGGCCATGACTGACAGAGACATTGTTGAAAACATTATTGCTGCGAGGGCCCCAGAGAACGAAGACGACAGTGACAAAGAAGAGCCAACAGAGACAGCACGAAAGCCACCAACAAAGCAAGTTGTGAAAGCACTGGAACTTGTCCGTGACTGGGTAGAAATGACGGAAAACACAGAGGACCTTTTTCCCGCACTTCAGAAGCTAGAGAGACGTGTAACATCTGAGGACATAAAATCCACTCTTCTTCAGCAAAGTTGCATTAAAGACTGTCTCAGTGACTTGGCTAGTGATCGTGATGTGCAGTAATGTGGGAAGGCCGAAATATGCAGTGACTAGTTACGATGTTGTGTAAACTAAAGTGTGCATTGGACATACATCTAATTTTAATTTATCGTGTTTGAGTTTGATTTTTAAAATGTTCACTTGATTCTGTATGAAATAAATAAATTTAAAAAAAAAATCCCGGCATTTACTCGTCTTCAATATAGGCTATCGTTTCCGGTTTCAAATTTACACATCGTAAGCAACATCCTACTATGAGTAAACGCCAACTAGTTGATCGATATCGCAGAAAAAAAGACTTAAAGTAAGAATGCAATTCAGTTTGAAATGAATAGTTTATAGAAAAACTTAATTTAGGAAACATTTTAAGTCTTTTCTTCTCTCTTTGCAAAGAGTTTTTGTTTTGAAAGAATAAAGTGCAATATTCAATACATGTGTAAAGCATGTGAGGTATATTGAATCGTTCAAAAAAACATCGAAGTCAAACTTCGGATATCTCGAACACCCGGATATCTCGAAGTTTTTTATAAGTCCCAACGACTTCGACATATCGAGAGTCGACTATATATATATATATATATATACGAGGGCCGTTCAAAAATTACGCGGACTCTGCTATTATTTACTCTTATAGACGTCACAGAGAATTGAAATTTCACAGGAACATATTTCTTAAAGATTCAAATAAATCCTTGGTTAAATATTTTGATTTTATTCAATATCTCTTAAGATTATTGCTGTTTTGATACTGCTGATGGTGATGTACGGAGCACGGCAAAAATGTTGAAATACAAAAATGCGGTATCCAATATTTTATTCATTTATTTTCCATATTTCACGACATTATTCAACAATTTTCTCTAAAATTTCTTTTTATTGTTGTATTATTAAGTATTTAGATTTCTGAAGTAATATTTGAAGTACTAACAGAAATATTGCAAATTTTCTCCGATGTGACCCCTACGAAATCAATTTCAAAAATGACGTCTCGTAATTTGACGGAGCAGCGCACTTTTATCAAATCATGAATCGTGCTGGGAAAACGCCAACGGAGACCCAAAATAAGCTTGGTAAAACATATAGTAAACCAGCGGAATTTTCGACACATCTCTACAAAATATAGAAAAGAATTTTAGACTCAAAAGACAGTCCGGGAGGGATGGAAGAAGTTCATCGACAAAACACTGATCTGGACTGTTAAGAATGTGATTGAGATCGACTGACGTCAAACTTTACTTCAGAAATATCTAGAGTTTTGGGGTTTAACACAAACTAGAACACACAATACTAGTTTTATAGTTTTTAAGCTAGATCAGAAATGGTATATGGATGTTTATTTTGAGTGGTTAAGGTAACCCAAACTAAACAGTATCATATACTAAGGGAAAATATTGAGAAAATGAAAGCTCCCATTTTTTAAAATGCCCGTGACGTTGAAGGTTTTGCTGCGCCGTGACTTCATGATATGTCCTGTTAAATCACCCGAAATTGATACTCATTTACAATATTTTTATATGAAATTTTGATGACCATATATAAAAAGATTCTTTTATATTATTTGTGACTTTTTGCTTGATTATGTCGTCAAATATATTTTCTGTGCAACAAGTCCGTGTAATTTTTGAACGGCCCTCGTATATATATATATATATATATATATATATATATATATATATATATATATATATATATATATATATATATATATATATATATATATATATATATATATATATATATATATATATATATATATATATATATATATAAAGCACTAAAAATGACCAACGACACGAACAATAATAATTGTCAAATTTTCGGGACAACCTGTCCCTTCCTCAGGACAAAGAAAAAAGTTAAGAAGTCATAAAAACAAAGGAAATAGAGAAGCAAAAACAACTAGCACTACTACTAAACTACCAAACACTAAATATTTACAATGTTACATGTTTAATTTTGAGTTTATAAACAGTTGTGAACAAAGAAATCCGGAGCGCTATGAATTGCGTCCGGTCTATCGGGTGTAGTCTGGTGAAGTGTGATTTACATAATTGAACGAATTAATTATCGCTAATTAACTTTAATCGCTAATTAATTCGTTCAATTATGTAAATCACACTTCACCAGACTACACCCGATAGACCGGACGCAATTCATAGCGCTCCGGATTTCTTTGTTCACAACTGTTTATAAACTCAAAATTAAACATGTAACATTGTAAATATTTAGTGTTTGGTAGTTTAGTAGTAGTGCTAGTTGTTTTTGCTTCTCTATTTCCTTTGTTTTTATGACTTCTTAACTTTTTTCTTTGTCCTGAGGAAGGGACAGGTTGTCCCGAAAATTTGACAATTATTATTGTTCGTGTCGTTGGTCATTTTTAGTGCTTTATATAAATTTCCATCCGTGACCTTGTATCTACTTAGTAGATCCGACACTTAGGATATACAGTGTTGTTGGTTTTTAGTGCTTATATATATATATATATATATATATATATATATATATATATATATATATATATATATATATATATATATATATATATATATATATATATATATATATATATATATATATATATATATATAACCACATCACGATATACCTGTTATTCCGCATCGTTCGACAGAAAAAGGAAATTATTATTATAGTTTATCATATCAAAAGTAAAGTTACATCCTAATTAACCTCGCACAATTTACCAATATTTAAGCAAAGTAAAAAATGAATTATTTTCAGCAACATTTCATTTACAATGCACACGATAACAACAACAACAAAAAAACCGTACATTTATTATACATAGGAAAAGAGAGAAACTCATGCATCATGTCTCCCCAATTCTTGGCTGAGCCATGCAATACGGATCCGTAATGCATTGGTGCATTGGTGCTCATTTAAAGAGTCATGTCAAGCAAAAACAGTTCACTTTGCTGTCAAAATTGCTTAGACCCTTAAATTAAAATGTGCCCTGTCCTATTTCTTATTTGTTGAATTCTCGTATACTGGTCCTGCTTTTCTTTGATTCATTTCCCCTATAAAATCCTGTTACTTATTTTACTTTCTTTCGTGGCACCACCATAGAGTGGTAAAAACATGAATTAAATACATATTTTTTCATGAACAAAACCAAACAAATTGCATGAGTTAAACATAAAGTTTACTATTCTCAAACTTTCCTTTTCTTATCCAAAGTTAAGCATGTGAAAGTTATACGTGTATTGTTATACTTTAAAAATTTTAAAGCACGTGCGATATGATATTTTTTTTTTTTACAATTCTATAAGGTTAAACATACCCGCCACATTTGCCGATTCTTTTCGATGAGAACTGAAAACATAAAGAAACAATTAGTCCAAGTTTAAACAGCATGTTTTAATTTAAAAAAAAAATAAACCTTTCGACATCAGTTGTCCCTTTTACACTTTTTAAATTTCCTTTTAACCTATTTCGGTTATATGTCGCCCTTCATATAGACTTAATTAGTAAAACAAATTGAAAAATATTTTTAATCAGGGCATATAGTTATCTATTAAAGATATACATTGTATTACTAATGTCAGGTACTAATCACACAATTGCTCTCGATACATGTATATATATAGTTCCAATCCTGATTAGCATATAAAACGCTATAACAAATGTTTAAATGGCAGTGCATTTGTATTTCGTGGAAGTTATACAATCTAAATTAAAATAATTTTGATTTTTTCCCCTAAATTAAAAAAAAGTGAAGATAAGGAACATTATCGATCTCAAAAAAAAAAAAAACCCACAAACAATACAAGAGGTTGGATGAGGTGCTTAGGAGGAGTAAGCATCCCCTCTCGATCAATCACACCCTTTGTGAGCCCTATGTATTGATTAGGTTAGGTAGAGGGAAAACATGCATTCTGTAGTCAAATTCAGTATAAAAACAAAGGCCTTACAATTGGTTTAAAATATGTCAGTCAAAATAAAAGCAAATGATAGGTTATATTTGCTATTAGGGTCATAACAACCATAGATTTTACTAATTGCTGACTTTAAACAATGGTGTTGAAATCCCTATAATATCAACTTATCTGCCAGTAGCCTTCCTCGATGTAAAACTTGATCGCGCACAGAGCATGCTTTTGAGTATATTGACTAAGATGGGAGATATAAAATTTTATCAATTAAATCATAAAAGAATTTAACCTCCCTCTTTCAGGTTTAGCCTTTTGTGGTAACAATCCATTGTATTTCATAACGTTTGTAATTTAAACATTGTCCAATATCGAAAGAAGATTTAATAAACGGAACTACAATTATTTTTCTATGAAAAAAAACATATTTTTTTCACTAAAAACAACAATAAATAAGTTGATAAACATAATTAAGTCTTCTAATGCAATAATTAACAAAAGAAGTGTTAAGTTCGGTGCTAAGCCAGATTCATTTCAACAAAAGAAAATCTTGCACACAGCTTTATTTGAATATAATTGACAAAAAAAAAATATATCAAATGACAATGAATATTAAATACATTCTATATTTCGGAAAGATGACGATAAGTTAGGTTTAAATTATATTTATCTTTTGTTCTGTAGTAAAACCACATTTAACCCTGTAAACAAGTCATTCAGGAGAACTTTATGGTTACAATTTGACTTTTTTTCTTTTTTAAAGTCCATATTAGGCAGTTAACCAGCTGCATCTACTGTGTAACTTTTTGAATCACGAAAGCTCCTCCTATTATTCCCGCTGTAACAGCGATACCTCCCAAAGTACATAGTACGCCAACACCAAACCTCTTCACTTGCTGGCTTTCATGTTTTCCTGTGGCACAAAACCTCGCAATTTGCTCACAGTTGTTCTCAAATAAGTCGTATTGTATCTGTTCCCTATTTTCCAATAAGAACTCTATCATTTCTATCGTATTTTCGGGATCTAAGCGCCTTTGGTACTCGTATTTGTATATCACAGGAACAATTTTCCTCCAAGTTGTTATTTTTTGAATACTTCTTTTTAATCCTAGAACTGGAGTTTGATTTCTGTCGATCTCCATAGCAATGACTTCAAATTGATTTTTGTCCTCCCAGACTCTAGTTACAATTCCATGGTGAGTATATAACAAGCGATGGAACTTGATGTGGTATCCTCTTCTCAGCTGAGAAATATTGTCGTCTGGAATTGCCTGTAAATGTTTAAAAATAAAGGAATCATAATGCTGAATAAAAAAAAAATTAGTCATTTTTAATGGATAAAGCGAGTTCCGTGTCGCAGTAGGTGCTGGCACAAAAAAGGATCCATCGCTACTGAATGGCGATTAAAGGACTAAAGAGCACATAACGATAAGGCCGCTCAGCTTCCTACTTACTTTCATATAATTTTTTTTTTCAAAATTAGCCAAGAATTCAAGAAAAATATATAACATTTTAATATTCATATTTCAAAAGTTGAATATGAAATGAATTCACACCGTAGTTGACACATAGTTAGATGTATCTTTATCGCGTTAATATCAGGTTTAGGGGAAAATATTAGATGGTAGAATTTATAAATCAATGTTTAGACAATGTAGTGCATGAGAGACAATTGCCAAAATTTGCCCACTAACTAGATTTGCAATGCATACCAATATTTTAAAATACAATGAGTATCGCGTGGCCATTTCATATCAAAAAATTGAAAACTACATAAAAATTGCATATCTAAATAAGAAGCACCTGGTTACTTGATCTGACTCAGTATTAGATATTTAGCCAAATATAGCGTCTTATTATTTTTTTATCTAAAGAGGATGATTTTTTCTAGATTATTAACAATAGAAAAGTTAACGTATTCATCTTAAATCATTTCGATACTTAATTCATCGCCAGCGAATAACGTTAATGCATCTAGGAGAGCTTATGTAATACCGTCACTGTCGGCTTTTGGAGAAGATTTCTTTCCAAGTACGAATATACCCAATATTAATCAGAGTTACCTGACCTTGTATGCTGTATTGTCATCAGCCAGGTTTCAGACGCTGGATTTTCAGCCGATTAATGTTAAGGACCCTCTTTACACTAGAGGAAAATATTTTTTGGACATTGAGAAAATTATAGTGTTTAAAGGTGTAAGCATAGAGCATATCTATCACATTTTCAGCATAGGGTGCCCTGCATTTACCCCCAGGAAAAATGTTCAAAGACATTGAAGTCTGATGAGCATAAATCACTGTTGTCTACTTAAGTGGGCAAAATACTTGCACATGAAGTGTTCTATCTATTCACCTTGTCCTATTAAAGTTTTATGAATGTTTGATTTGATCGCAAATTAAGTAATAAACTGTACTTTTCAATTCATTTTATTCTTGATCAAAGGGCAGATAACTCTATCTGCATAAAAATACCACAAATTCAGAACTCTCTAGCGTGCAGTGTATAGAGGGTTCTTAATGGAAATGTTTTTAAAGCAGGTTAAAGTATTTGGACATTTAACATTTAGCACACGAGAAAAATATTGCATCTTAAAAAAATGGAGAAAAAAAATGAGCCCCAGGACCAGAGGTTCTGCCAGAGTTAGGGTGGGGTTCTATTGATCATGTAGTGAATTGCATATTAATTTTTTTAATACGTTTCTTTCCTCCTCCTTATTAGGTAAACAAAGTACATGAGTATAATTATAATGAAGAAGGGTGAACCTTCAAAAATTATAAAATCCATGCTCCTAGGATCAGGAGCTCTGGTGTAACGGCAAGCTCTATTAAGAAGGGGAAAGAAAATTTAACAAAGAGACCTGATAGAAAGTCGACAGATTGGAAATATTGTATCACAAGTAGCAGACTGGAATGAACGTTAGTGTGTTGTACGTTGATTGTAGATCAACCACCAAAAACTTGCCGTGTAATGTAGATCTGATTTTTCATAGAATTGGCTTTTCTTTAATACCAAACAACCATTTATAAACCTGTTAAAAAACTTGTTAATAAAATCGTTTGCAGTCAAAATGTAAAAGGTGATTCGGAATACCCTAAATGACTGTATAATTCATGAAGGTGCAACATCATAAAATAGTCCATATCCCCAGTATATATGTATCGTATAGCGGGAATTTTTTTATGACTTTGATTAGTGCTTTGTAAAACGTTATATCATTCAATTGGCATTTTATTTGCTCAAATTCTTGCATTAATTGGTATTCAAACGTATATTTAACTTACGGAAACTCATCTGAAAGATATTTTTTTTCTTTTTTCTTCAAAGTCATGAAACTTCGTGTCCGTCAAAAAAAAAATTCCGCCAAAATTATTGGCATACCTTTAAGGAAGCAAGACGCCAAATTTAACACCCGCTAAAGAAACCCGCTATACTGTATAAATTTTTAGATAAATGCTTGGACAAAAATGTTTCACTTGGTTTTCATGATAGATCAATTCCTTCGGTAATCTCGTTCATTAAACTTCATTTTGTTTTTCTCAAATGAGGCGAACATTTATTGGATCCAGTTGCTTCACTGACAACAATGTAAAGCTAGGGAAGAATAATTATAGACTTTATTTTGGTTCACTGAATACGAATTTCAAGTATGAGAAATAGATGGTAATCATGCAGTAGCTCAATTTCGAATTACATCAAAACATTAAAATCAAAGTACATTAACATTAAGCAAACATTAAGCAAAATCTGCTTGGCAGATGCTGAATGGATTGAATCATTAAAAGAATTTGAAAGTGCACAAATTATTTATTGAAATTGTGTGTCTTATAAAATAGGAACAGTTTTTCAGTCTTCACGGACATTCTGTAAAATTAAAAAAGAGAAATACAGAACATTGAGTCAATAGTTTTTAAGGCAATGCAAAATTTGTTTGAAAAACATTTGCTCTTGATCTTACATAAACACAATCGATTCTACTCGAATCTCACAATATTACTAAAATAAACATGAGAAATTCAAAGATGTACATGGTTTCTGTTTACATAAGAACTTAACTGTTATTTATCTCTCCTCCCGATTAAAATACTTGTACTAATTAAGATCTGATGAATAGATATCCAACTATTAAAATTTGAAAAATAATGTACTTTAACGTACCTAGTTACAATGACAAACATTGTGGCTGTCACAATAACCACTAGAGTGTCCGAGAGTCCAACAGTGAGCGGAACAGGCCGAAGCTCCAAGCGAGATTCCGAAAAATGTTGCAGTCCCAAGCTCACACGTAGCTCTTCTCTGGGGTGCTGAAGTTATCAAAATTAACACAGGTTTATAGTTTGATGTTTAAAATTCTGGCATTAAGTAGAATACAATTAACACATATGGGGAAATGATAATCAGTAAATAAAAGTTAAATCAAAAGATTTTTTAAAAAATTCTTACCAGCGTCCGTCGCTAAAAAACGTAAAGAGAGTTTGAATAAAATTTAGAGTTATTACAGGTGCATTTCTTAAACATTAATTGCTTTAATAGTACATTGTGTGTTTAAATATGCATATGTATTTTTATTAGGTTAGAAGATACATTGAAATTCTTTCTGTAGGATACACATAGTTACATAAATATAAAAAAGAAATGATTTTCCAGATATGATGTCTGAATCATAGGTATTTTCAACAGTTAACTTCGAAAAAGTATAAATTGGAATAAATACGGTATGACTATTATTTTTTTTTTAACATAACATGCATTAGTATCTCATTTACATTTCTAGAAAAGACTGACTGTTAAAAACTGACAAGGAAAGCTGAGATGAAATTTAAGAAACTGATTTAAATTGATGAAGTGGATAAACGTACTTAAAAGAGTGTTTGTAGTTTACTTGAAATACAGGTATTAATATTTTTAAAATAGGGTAACATCATAGAACTTTGTGCAACAAAAACACTGTGACACCATTGTGCTGTCATGAAAAGATAAAAATAGAAAGAACTCTGCTTAATCGTATTTCCTGGCATTCCCATCGTGTTCTTTTTATTGATAAATAAAATAATACAATACAAAAATCAGGAATATTAAACAAACTCGATTGAGTTTATTTGGAAGTTTGTAAACTGTAAAAAATAAAACATTAGTTAAAAAACCCTACCTGAGAACACCAACGAAAGACTGACCAGCAAAAACAGAAGTTTAAACATTTTGTTGTAGCAAAACTCCGAATGATCTATGGAAGGAATTCTGTTCTATTATATACTTCTCTGGATGTCTTATCTGTGATCATTTGTTCATTCACAAGCAAGTACACATAGTATGCACTCAAAAACCTTTCCTTTTCCGTCGCATGTATTTCAATAAGGTTATCATTGATATCGAATACTTATGCAACTATGTTAAGAATGAAGACCTTCATTTGTTCATCTTTTCTTCAATGTATTAATTTTCCTTTTAATGCTTTACAGACATATGCTTGCATATTTTTGAAATATATACATATGAATGGGCAAGAATACTACGTTTAACGAAGTTTTTTTCTAGTCTCTTCTGACCCCCTTACTATTTGTATTTTTGTTTTGCGTCATTTACTTAAATAAATGACATTTTTTTTTCACTTTCAATACTGTTGTTATTTTCTTCTATCCATCACAAGAACTAGCTCAGTTGACTTGGCTTCAGACTTGCAACAATAACAAAGGAACATAATTTTTTTTTTTTCAATTTGTGTTGCAATAGATTGTGTTTATTCACTTTATTGTGTTCAAAATGTGTCATTAATATTTTTACTAGTTGTATGCGGCATATTATGAGATGTAGTTGTATACTGATATTTAACATTATTATACTTTCATGTTAAATACTAAAATCTGATTGGTTTATACGCATTTAACAATCCGTAATGTTACCCCCAGCGTTAGCAACACACTTGACAACGGGTAACATTACGAAAATATTACATGCGTTCAAATCATGCGCGTACGGTTCACCGTAGAATTCTCAAAACCTCGGTTGTGCGTTTGAAAGAAGCCGAATAAACGAGGTCAATAAAAGCTTGCGTCCGATGTAGCTTACTTGAAAACAACAAACGACAGACGAAACATCCTTGCGAGTGCAAACTTTAGATGATAAAGGACTTTTTGAGTAGCAAACAAACAATAAAGAGGTTGGTAAATCTTTTCCGAAGCTTTCTTATTGAGAAAAATAAAAGCGGGGAGTTTGAAAACTGTCTAAGCGTGAACTTAACAACGATAACCGATTTTTTTTTATGACATCCGAAATCAATAAGACATTCAGTATAATAAAATAAATAGCTGACGCGTCGGTTGACAATGGTTTTCCTTGGGGTGTCAATTTCAACTGTTACCCTCAAAAACGTGCACTATTTATATAATATGTACCACTATTTTGTAGATCACTAAATTTTCGCATCACCTTATTTTCTCGAGATAATCATTGACTCTTTATTAGGGAGATAGAATATTCACGAATTGTGGTTATTGCTCTATATAATCTTTAGGAACACTAATATACGCGAGAATGAAATTTTCGTGAGCACACTTTTTCGCGTAATTACGCGTAAATAAAGTTCTCGCGAATAAAAAGTGATTTACAGTATATGTTCTCTGTATATAATGCATTTTGTTCTGCTGTAAATTCTTTACTTACTAAATGACCATTTTTTCCCCTTTAATACAAATTTTGTTATCATTTGACTACGCCAGGCGAAGGACATGAAAAAGAAGTCCTTGACACTTTGTCAGAATGGATTAAATGTATTAGATGTTTGTTAAAATCGCGCATTAAAAGATTGAGGGGCAATATGAAAACCATCTATCCTTCTGTATTCAATAATCCAGAAGTGAAAAAAGAATTAGATAGATTACATGATCAGTACGTAATGGTCCCTGCTGACAAAGCAGGTAACAACATTGTCTTTGTTTGTAAGGTTCATCATATTAAATGTATTTTTGATGAACTTGGATTTAATTCTACAAGTGGTAATCCAACTTATACTCATAGTTCCCTTTCTAAGGAAGAAATTCTTCAAAATCATATGTTTTGAATATTTTTAATATTCTAAACAACCAAAATGCATTTGAATTACCATATTTATATTGGATTCCGAAACTTCATAAAAATCCTTACAAACAAAGATACATATTGTTCAATCAAGCCTCTTTCTTTACTCCTCACTAAGATATTAACAGTGGTGAAGGAGAAACTTCAAGAGTACTGTGCAACAATATATTCGAGAAGTGGTGTAAATCAGATGTGGATACTTAAAAATTCCAAGGAACTTTTGGAACATTTGAAATCACAAGATTTTACCAAAATCAACAGCTTAAAAACTTACGACTTTTCAACTTTATACACAACCATTCCCCACGATAAATTAAAGTCCGGGCTTTTTGATATCATTGACAGCTGCTTTTTCAATAAAAATAGAACTCGTAAATATACTTTCCTTGTCATTGGTCATTTGCAAAATTATTTTGTTAAAAAACATTCTGATTGTACACACAAGTACTCTGAAGTTGACATTAAAAAGATGCTTGAGTTTCTGATTGACAATATCTATGTGGTTTTTGGAGATCAGGTCTTCCAACAATCTATTGGAATTTCCGTGGGTACCAATTGCGCCCCGTTATTAGCAGACCTTTTTTGTATTCATATGAAGCAGAATTTGTCCAAAATCTTGTACGTGAAAAGAATAAAAACACTTCCTGTGGCCTTCAACTCGACATTTAGATATATCGACGACGTATTGTCAATTAACAATGGCTATTTCCATTCTTATGTCGATACGATATATCCTGGTGAGCTTGAGATAAAAGATACCACAGAGTCTGACAAATCTGTTTCATATTTGGATATTTTACTTGAAAAAAAACGTTAATGGTAATCTAACAACCAAGCTTTATGATAAACGTGATGACTTTAACTTTTCAATCGTCAACTTCCCTTACTTATGCAGCAATATACCTTCATCACCTGCATACGGGGTATATATCTCTCAGTTGATTTGATACGCAAGAACATGCTCTACGTATGTACAATTTCTAAAACGAGGTAAATTATTGATAGATAAGTATATGAAACAAGAATATCAGCTGTCTCGTTTAAAGTCATCATTTCGTAAGTTTTATGGTCGATACAATGACCTTGTCAGCAAATACAATTTATCATCGAGTCAAATGCTGACTGGCGTTTTTATTACTAATTGTTAGATCATTATTTACACACTGAATTGTCGACGGATTTTTACGTTATTTCCCGACCATGACAAGGAGCACACGGCGGGTGTGACCGGTCGGCAGGGGATGCTCACTCCTCCATGGCAACTGATCCCACCTCTGATGTTCTGATGTTTGGAGAGAGAGAGAGAGAGAGAGAGAGCATTAAATTTGCATTAAACTTGCATTTATAATGTAAATTCATGAAGATTTTCAGTGAAAAGATAAAAATTACACCATCAATGTGAAGTTCATGGCTAATTTGTGTCTACAGAGAAACTCTTTCAGACCATGCAAATGCATCTGAATTTTCTTCAATTTCTTATCACCAAAGCCAGCTTAATACAGTGCCAAAGCTGCCTAGGAGCTCCTTAAACGCTGATACCTTAAGACTGTCCTGGGTTACAACATTTTATTGTCAGCCTAAAATTTATCAACAAAAAAGTCATTCAGTGGAGGTAAAAGGCAACTTTATTATATGATTTATCACATTATGCTCCAAGACTTCTGAGCTCCTCTTAGTTTGTTAATTGTGAATAATTATGAATGTACTCTGCGCAGTAACAGTTTTCCTTGGGGAGCTTTTTTGTTGATAATTAAAATATTCTTCACAATATGCACAAAAATCCCACTGACGGAGTGCTTTTTTGTGTATTTTGTGGTTGTTGTAGCGTAAAGTTGATGATCAATTCTCCCTACCTCCAGAAATAAGGAAAATAAGCTACCAGGGCCTAAAAATGTTGGTCACGGTTTTTTTTCATAATTTTGTCATTCCACAATGTCATTGTTCTAAGACTGCCTGATAGGTAAATAATTTCTGATAGGACAATTACTTATATGTTTATTGTTGTTATTCCTTCATCGGTTTATTTTTTGTAGCGATTTTTTTCTGTTGACATTCTTTATTTGTTAAACTAAAGTAGGACAACAATTGTCTGTGCGTACTATTCTTCACTAAATATTTATTTATCAATTACCCCAAAACAGTGTGTTTGAACAGGACTGTTGTTATTTTGTAATGTGAAAGATATCAATTTTCTTTTGCCGATGCTGTTGCAAAATTTAATAATTTCTTT